TGGGTGAAGCTTCTGCAGCTAGAGTTGGGAATTATCTTCCGGGTCATCTTAATTTACTTGCTTCTTTATCCGGTGGAGCTCCCGGGTCGGGTCGGAGAGAAGACGACCCACGTTGAATTTGGAGACCAAAATTTGGTATATATTTTATATCTCTCCTAGTGCTTGGGTTTCTCTATGCGTGTGTGGGTTTTTAGTTTTCTAGAGATTGATTTGATTGCAGAACCTCTAGAAGTGATTTAAGAGTTATCGTTAGGGTTAGGGTTTATAAGAATCTGGTCTTAAAAGAGGTTCTCTTTTTGGTTTTTGTTGTTGTTGTGAGAGAGATCGATTTCTCATCGGTTTGGTAAAGTAAGGATCCAAGATTACTCGTGTTTTCCTCTTTAGAAACCAAAAATGAGGGAAATTTAGAAACCACGGTGGTTTCACCTTTTGTCTGGTTTTTCCCGGCGAAACAGAGCCGTCGTCAAAATTCCAGATTATATAATATTATTATTTATATTGATGATATATTTTGTTTGTTTTGTTTGGTAATTGTGTATGCGATTACACAAATTGCGTGGTGAGCATTTGCGCAAGCTGTTAACCACGTTTCTGTTTTAATAAATTTTCCGACTTCATATTTTGTTTCATTTACTGATTGACAAAAAGATTTATGTGAATGTGATTGTTTCACTCGAATCGAACTCAGAGCATGAACATAAATTTACATTATTTCTAGGGTTTCGCGTCTTGATTTAAATGCAAGAACAGAGGATTAAGTAAAGAAAAAGACAAACAAACCATTTGTGTCTTCTGTCTGAAAATTCTTTGAATTTTGCTGCCTTCACATGAATGTTTATTTACTGTGTTTGGCTTGTCACATTAGTCAGAGAAAGATGGGAATATTAAAATCTAATATTCGATCCTAACAATATCTGCTGAATAATATATTAAATTGTTAATTTTTATTCAACATAATTATACTTGATGAATTACGTCAAAGCAAGTAGATAGGTTTCTTGGACTATTTTAGTTTGGACCGGAGAAAAAGAGGAGACAGTGTAGGTCGAATGAGCTAATCAAAGAATCAAACAAATTTTGCAATAAAAATGAGAATCTATTAATGGAAAGATCTTAACTAAAAGTTGGTGTTTATTTTTGGCTTAATTAGTACTAGTAATTAACACTTAGCTAGTTAGCTATATAGTAGTGTTAATGGAAATAATTATAGGTGGGGAATCTCTGTAATCAACTCGTATAAAAAATAGCATCCGTACCTTTTTAGTGTCGAATCATATATAATATGACCCCAACACCAATAATTGATATGGTCCCATTATTTTCTACCGGAAAATAAATTTTATATAGGTTTGCATTAGATATTGCATTTTGGACCGACAAATATACAAGTAAAAGCCTCTCATTCACCTCACTCTACCAGCTCTATGCCGTATTAAATGTACTGTCAAATACTTTCCGTTTAATCTTACTTTTCAGAAAGGAATTGATTACTAAAAATTCATTATAGAGAGACTCAGAACTTTAAATTCTATGGACATAATGCAATTTTGGACATTAAAAAATAGTTGAACCAAAATTTTTTTTTTTATCACACTTACTGTTTTGGGGAGAAGAAGAAAGTAAAATAATGTTGTTGTTCGTATACATTTGTGTTCTTTGACTGTTTGCCATTTAGAACTACACAATGTTGAGAATGAAATCAGTCAATGTGAAAAAAATGAGAAAACTACACAATCTTTCTTCATTCTCTCTCAATCGTTTTGTGTGGATACGATTGAGAGAGTAAGAGAAAACTTTGCTATCTCTCCACGATAATGCAGTAATATTATTGTTTTGTTTAGCTCGCTTGTCCTTCGGGTAGAATATCTATCTAGCCGGGGCTAAATTGAAGACGAATAATTCAAAAGTTTGTATATAATTCTAACGTCATATATGTTCTTTATTATATTTTATAAAAAAATTAAGCTTAAAGAACGTAAAAGTAGTTTAGAACATAATTACTTTGTGTATGTTAGTTACTAATGCGATAAAAAACGTGCATTAGTTTAGTTGGGATAGTTCGTAACAATTCTTCTGAAAAATGGACCTATATGGGCCTTAATTTTGGGATTAATGGGCCAGGTTAAGTCTTTGTGCTCTGAGCCCACTTAACGGTTCACACACCGTCTCTAAGCTTTCGACAAAGATTTCAGCAATTCACAACTCGAGGAACTCGGCTGC